ACCAATACAGTGATGATTTAGAGATGGTATGCGCAATACTATGTGCCGGACTGTATCCTAAAGTCGTGCAGTGCAAAAGGAGAGGAAAGAGAACAGCTCTCTTCAGTAAAGAAGTGGGGAAGGTTGGGATTCACCCGGGTTCGGTGAATGCCGCCGTTCACCTTTTCCCTTTGCCTTTCATGGTTTACAGTGAGATGGTCAAAACTAGTAGCATATACATTAGGGACTCGACAAATATATCTGATTATGCTCTGCTGATGTTTGGTGGAAATCTTGTTCCGAGCAAAAATGGGGATGGTATTGAGATGCTCGGTGGATATCTTCACTTTTCTGCTTCAAAGACTGTATTGGACTTGATACGGGTATATTTCATCTCTCTCTCTCTCTCTCTCTCTCTCTCTCTCTCTCTCTCTCTCTCTCTCTCTCTCTCTCTCTCTCTCTCTCTGTCTCTGACATACGCGCACATGCACACTTGTGAACTATTCCCAATATTACAAAATTCTGCACTTTTTTGAAATGGGATATTAACCTGGGTTTGGTATAATTACAGAAACTTCCCAATTAATTTTTTTGAAATTACAAATGATGCCATGTTAAATTAGGCTAATTAGCTATAAAGTTTAGTGAATGTGATGGGGTGACTTGAAATATTTATTTAAGACAGAAGAAAATTTAGGGGCACTCTTTGTAACTTTGAAAGTTCGTTAGGTTTCTTTGTAATCAGGCCGAATCTGCACGGTACTATTTGTAACGCGCTTCTTATCCAAGTAAATAACAATATACTCGACTTCATTGGTAGTTCTGCAGATAAAACTTAGAAATAGCTGGAAAAAAAGTGCTTAAAACGCTTTGAGTCGAAGCTAAAATTATTTTTCAAACCTATGCAGAAATTGCGTGGGGAGCTCGACAAGATTCTAACAAAGAAGATTGAGGATCCAGGGCTCGATGTTACTCTTGAAGGTAAGGGTGTGGTTGCAGCTGTAATTGAGCTATTGCACAGTCAAAATTTGAGATATGTGTAATTTTGTCAATTATATGCCTTTTTTTACATTACACAAACAAATAGAACAATCCACATTAACATTATGCTCACATATGAAGCCATTTGAGGTTCTTCTAAGTACTCAAACACAATGGTTTTTATTTAATCATTATTAATTATTGTCAATTTGATTGTGTATGGGGAATGTATGAAACCTGTAGCAAATGAAGCAATCTGCAACTGTTAAAGTGTCCAAGTAATATATATATATATATATATATATATATTTGTATATTTTCATATTGCTATTTTTTTTTATTATTTTATTTTCGAAATTTATTTGTGTGCTTAAGGAAATAATAATAATAATGCAATATTGTGACTAGAGCTGTTAAACGAAACAAGCTGCTTGTGAGCTTGATTGACTTGTCTTTTGATTAACGAGTTGAACTTGAGCTCGTTTAGTTAACTAAACTGAACTGGGGTCATTAAGGTTTGATACATAGGTTTTTTTTTTTTTTTTTTT